ACTTAAACATGACAGGTTGAACTTTCAAACCTAACTGATTGAATTTTCCTGAATGTACGAAAAATAAGATTTTGTTAACTTTTTTGTTTCTTGTTTTTACCTAAACTCTCAGAGCTGCCCTTGCATAACTTTAAAACCTCTTTTTACTTATCGTAAGATTCTCTAGTGTACATATATAACACATATCTCTAACCCTAAAGAGGAGATTGATTGTTTCAATTGAAAAGTCCAAGTTTTCAACTTCAACATGAACATTGAAGCTTTTGAGAGATTTTCAGAAAAAAGTTTGATTGTATATTTTTTAGAATACACACTTAAACACGAGAGTGATTAGGGTGATGTTCTTCTACTAATCAACACGGAATCTTCAGAGTTTACATCAGATTACAGATTGATCAGAACAATAAATTTTCTACAAACCTTGACAGAATTTAGATTAAAGGAAGATGAGGTCTTGATCACATTATGAAGAGATCAAGGCATTCGTGGAGTGCTTGTTGATCTACCAGCTATCCTTTTATATGGATTAAGGGAGTAAGAGTAAAGTCAAGTACTGTTGAATGGGGGAATTGCAAAACCAAAAACGTTCAACAATTGATTTTGGTAAAGTGAAAGGGTATAAGCTTAAGTCACTTGCATGCTTTCTAACCTTCGGCCAACGATTTCCTTTGATTTTAGGAAGCTATTCACCACCTAGAAAGCGGGCTTTTGAAAGTCTCAATGCTTTGACATTAATAAATCGTTTTGCTCGAGACGGCAAAGTCTCTGAGGTTTTTCCGAGACGATTGATTGATTTTCACCAATCAGGGTTTACTTGCTAAAAACCTAATGTTATTTCTCAAACTCTACTTTACTTGCTTTAATTTAATATTTATATTTTTGTAATTATAGATGTTTAATTGATAATTATTGCGGTAATCTTTGTCAACTTTCGTGGTAAGTATTTGGTTTAGTTGTGTGAATCATTTTTCACCATTTTATTTTTCCTAAGGTCATAACTTAAGTAAAACACATTCTGTCATATGGTGAACCAATCCTCCCACTACTCTATCATTACTATGAATATGGATTACATAGCACTTTCTTACTAGTTTAATTATTGGTAAAAAAAAATAATAATAATAATAATAAAACTATTTTAGGGATGCTAAAAAGAGCCTGGTTCAGAAACCTTTCGTTGTCCAGCTTGAGACCATTTACACTGCGTTTGATGGGTTGAGTAGGCCCACGCCCATATCTGTAGGGCCTAGGCAAGTGAGGTCCAACTAGCCCAGAGGAGGCAGTTTAAGGGCCTGATAAAAAGTTTGGTCAATGGCCCAATTATGGCATGATTGATTTTAAAATATAGGGTTAAAATCACAAAATCCCTCTTTATTTTCAAAATCGTGTATAAAACCTTCAGTAAAATTTATAAACTCAACGAACTAACAAAACTTATCAAGTTACCCCAAAGCCGTGACCGGCGGTAAATGGGCTGTGAAATGTCAAATTTGACCTTGTTATTTAATATTAAATTAAAATCTATAATTATTATTTTAAAATTACAAAAATACCCCAAAGTGCTTACAAAAATATTAATTAAAAGCTATTAAATGAAAGTGCTTGGGAAAACGACAAGGACACTTTTGTAATTTTAAAATAATAATTATAGTCTTTAATTTAATATTAAATAGTAAGGTCAAATTTGACATTTCATAATCTATTTAATGGCCAAACTTGATAAGTTTTGTTAGTTAAGATAATTTTTTAATTTCTCACTATTTTAAAAGTAGGGAGTTTTATGATTAAAACCCTAAAATATACACATAGTGTCGCATACAAGCATACAAGTGATATACTTGGTGCATATTTGATATTTGATGAATATTTGATATTTGATGTTTGTATGTTAAGTTATTCTTTTTTGTCAAAGAAAGCGGAGTGAGAAAACTTTTGGGTTTTTAATTTAAAGAATTAATAACTGTGGAAAAAAAAGCTGGATTTGTTTAGACAAAAAAAAAAAAAAATCACTAGCGCGATGCTCGACACTTGCATTCTGAACACATCAGCTGTTGTGATTGATTTTTCGATCAAGCATAACGATTCTAGTGTATTATTTTCTTTTTCCGCTTCTAATTAAATAGGTTGCCATTATTATTCTAAGTAATTACAATTATTATTCTAAATAATTATTAGATTGGACAATTGTATTTGAAATCACAATTGGTTAAATGAATTTGTTCATGTTTTGCGAAGACTGGTTTTCTCCATTACACTTTATAGGGGCACCACTAGAAAGATATAGAAGAGTGAAAATGATCCATGTAAATGGGCCTAACCAAATAGGAATAAAATGGGAAAATGATAATTTTGACGACATCTATCTAACGACTTAAAACCGATATAAATAAAAAATATTAATTTGGCAAGTCACGGAATACCACGTAATAACTATAAATATTCGTTCTTGCTCACATGTTCTCCTCTGCTGCTGTTGCCCTTCATTTGAAATCATTGGCCGTAGCCACAATGACCTGGTGATAGAGATCCATCTCTACTAGTGAAATTATCTCAAAATCTCAGAGATATATCCCAATTTATCTCTCATTGAAAAAAAAAAAAAAAAAAAAAAAAAAAATCAATTCACGTTTTGAAACAATTAGGGCTATAAAACTAAATATTTTTCGTCTTCTTTACCTTATTGGAGATCAATTTCAGTCCCAGATTTGGCCTCGCCTTCGTCGTCTCCAATTCCACCTCACCTGCCGGTGATCTCTCTGGCTCCAACTCCACCTCACCTATTGATGATCTCTCCGACGAGTACTCAATGTTTTCTCCATCACTACTGGCTTGCCCTAATCCTCATCGTCGAATTTGACACTAGCTAGAGCCTAAACAATCACATCAAAATAAACTTGAACAACATCGAATCGAACGCAATTCCTGGATTGAATTTGAGATCATTGATCATATGTATATATATATATATTTTTTATTTCTTTCTAGAATTAGCTACTTGAGTGGTATAGAGAATTATTTAATTTCAGCTTAGTTTTATGCATAGGGAAAAAAAAAAAAATCAAAGTAGCAATTCTTGGGGATGTTGAATTTAATGACTTGATGAATATATCAGGCACAATTAGAGTCTATTGTGATTGGAAGAGAGATGATGTATGATTACTTTGGTAGTACTGTTTCCTCTAACTAGTAAAAAATCTACAAAAATACGACATCAACGTGTATATCATTGTGTGGGCCAGCTGTTCCTCTTTTTTTTTTTTTTTTTTTTTAATCTCTCCACCAAAGTAATCATGCATCATCTTTCTTCCAATCACAACAGACTCTAATCGTGCCTTGTATATTCATCACGTCGTTAGATTCAACATCCCCAAGAATTGCTACTTTGATATATATATTTTTCCTATGCATAAAACTATGCTGAAATTAAATAATTCTCTATACTACTCAAATAGCTAATTCTAGAAAGGAAAAAAAATATATATATATATATATATATATATGATCAATGATCTCAAATTCAATCCAGGAATTCAATCCAAGAATTGCCTTCAATTCGATGTTGTTCAAGTTGATTTTGATGTGATTGTTTGGGCTCCGGCTGGTGTCAAATTCGACAGTGAGGATTAGGGCGAGACAGTGGTGTTGGAGAAAACATTGAGTACTCGTCAAAGAGATCACTGGTAGGTGAGGTGGAGTTGGAACCAGAGAGATCACCGGCAGGTGAGGTGGAATTGGAGACGATGAAGGTGAGTTCAAATCTAGGACTGAAACTGAACTCCGATGTAGAAGACGAAAAATGTTTAGTTTTATAACCCTAATTGCTTCAAAACGTGAATTGATTTTTTTTCAATGAGAGAGAAATTGGGATATATCTCTGAGATTTTGGGATAATTTCGCTAGTAGAGATGGATCTCTTCACTAGGTCATCGTGGCTGCGGCCAATGATTTCAAATGAATGGCGACAGCAGCGGGGGAGATCGTGCGTACAAGAGAGAACATTTATGGTTATTACGTGATATTACCTGACTTGCTAAATTAGTATTTTTTTTATTTATGTCGATTTTAAGTCATTAGATAGATGTCATCAAAATTATCATTTTATCAATCAGAATAACTAACAAGGATACTTATACTAATTTATTGTAATGAATTATCTAATCGTTTCTGAATGGTTATTCATGCATAATATAATTAGATAGAGGGTTTTATTTTTTTATTTGTTACATAAATGACCAATTAAAAAAAATAAATCGACAATTCACGGCAACAAATCAATTAGTTATTATCTATAACATAGAGTAACTTCTTGATGTTGCCTAATTATAGATATACACAAATTTTGGACTTCAAATAATGAACGTGAGGATCATTTAACGTGTACCGTTCAAATTTAAAAAAGTTATTCAATGGAACTCTCTTACACACACAAACACACATATTAGTGGATATAACATAATTAACCACATATCTATAATCAACCTCTCATGATTGCTGATATCATCTTGATATTCACGAAAGAAAATATCTTAGTTGCCTTCATATTCATCTTGTCTTCTTGTTCTGTCTCGAAAGCTTAGTTTTCATTTGAAATGTGAATACTGACAAAAATGCTAGCTCTTTCGGATAACACATATCAATCTGGTACTTCACCAACTCTCCCAATCACAAGTTGAAAAATAATTTTCAAATCGCAGTAAAATCTTTTCCAAATGATCGAAAAAGCCTGAGCTCTTCCAAAACAATTTGGCTAACAATTAGCACTAAAATCCAGAGGAAGTCTGAACTATTCAAAGTTCAAAGCAATTTGACTAGCAATTAGCACTAAAATCCAGAGAAAGCTTGGATTGTTTTCGGCCTCAGCAGCATTATCCACAGCATTGTTATCCACTTGACGCATACAGAGAGAAGTTATCTACAGAATAAGGATAAAAAGGACTCAGATCCTCCTCATCTGCACAAATTGGCTATTGCATTTTCGAAGTAAACGTGTTGCTAGTAGCCCTAGTGTTTAATTTCATTATTTTATTTAATGCCTTTTAAATTATAATGAATGATTGTGTGTACTGACAGCATTCATTTTGAGAAACTATTCTATAGTCTTGGGACCATTAGACTCGAATCAATAACTAACTTACATGTAAAATGTATCAATTTTATGTCAAATTTATTTAGATTTTTGATAGTGATTGGCTGAATTCACGTAATAATTTCTTATTGTTGAAAGTATCTAAAGCGAGGACGGGTTTAGGAGAGAAAAAGACAGTAATGGGACTATGTGCCAGCACAAGAACACATATCAAATGGTTCCTCCACATTTGGAAGGTGACTCACTGCAACGGTGATTATGATAAGAGAGTCTACGGTGCTTTAAATTCTGATATCCTCTGTTTTGAGTACTTGGAACTTGGAAGAGAGAGAGAGAGAGTCCTTTGACTGTCTTTTTTGTGTATGCGAGAGAGAGAAGATGTTGGAAGGGAAGGCTCTGATAGAGGACACAGACATGCCTGTGAAGATGCAAATCCAAGCCATGGCTTGTGCTTCTGAAGCTCTGGATCTCTATGATGTTTTTGACTGCAAATCTATTGCTGCCCACATCAAAAAGGTAACCCAATATCTCTCCTCTCTCTCTCTCTCTCTCTCTCTCTCTCTATATATATATATATATATATATGTCTCTCTTCTTTGGTGCCATTTTTCCCTGAAAGTTGAAGTCTTGTAATTGCAGGAGTTTGATATGAGATATGGGAATGGATGGCAATGCGTGGTGGGTTCAAAGTTTGGGTGTTTCTTTACACACACTGAAGGAACTTTCATCTATTTCAAATTGGAGTCTCTGAATTTCCTCATCTTCAAAGGGGCTTCTTCCTCCTCAGTAGTCTCTCCTTGATACGTGTTTGGTTGCAGAGAAAGTTCGAGAAAGGGGAAAGGAAATTGCAAGAAAAAGGATAGAAGAAAAAGGGCATTCCCTCTGTGTTAGTAACGATGCAAGAAATGGGATCCTTTTGGATTATATTCTCTATAAGGAATCTGTAATGCCCAGAGGAGCATTTCAGTGCCTCTTATCCCTGTGTATATATATACTTTTCTTTAATCCTTAAAAGTTTGGTATTTTATGTATGTGTATATATGATGAACTGCTTGTCATCGTCCTTCACTGTTTGGTTGCCAAGAAAAGGGATTGGAAATGAAAATTCAACCAGCTTGTCATGTAATAATTGGGGTGACCATGTCTTTCCACTGTTATTTTCAAGTGCAAGCTTTTGCTTGCTTGATTGATTGATTCAAGACTCATTTCGCATAACTTTTGTTTATACTTTCTGAAAACTATATCTAAGAAGTGCTTTTTGTGAGATTATAAGTTTATGCATGTGTTGGCAAATTTCGGTGTCAAAGCATGATGATTGAATTGTAATTTTCGGCTTATCTTATGTTGTGATCATCAAAGCTGAATTTCAAGTGCCTCGTATCATTTGATTCCATGGAACATCACTTAGAACAACTATGTGAGTAAGAACACTTCATATTTCAAGTTTGGTGAGGTAGCATATAAGAAAAAAACTTGTTTTTGATCGAAAAGGTTCAAATTTGAGAGTCTGACCTGTACGTCCAACTTCTTTTCCACCGGTCGCTCTTCTCCATAAGATTGTTCAAAGTATTTATGTTAAAACTGCCCAAGTCCAACCAATCCAAAATAGTCCGACCAGTTGTACTTCTCAGAATCATTAGGAAAGTTCGACCGGTCCATCTAAGTCCGACGCATACTCTCCTGACTAGTTGCGGGATTTTAAGTTTCCTTTTCACATCAAACATCTTAAGATGTCCTAGTATGTTTTTAAAAGGTTATTCTAAACATTTTGGGGGACTCTCTTAAGTATAAATACTTCTCAAAACTTTAACCCTATGAGGTGAGTTAATTGCTTCAATCGAAAAAACCTAGATTTATCTTCTACATCATTATTGAAGCTTTTTGAGAGAAAAAGTCTTTTTGAGAAACACACACTTAAATACGTGAGTGATTTAGGATGATGTTCTGTTGGTCCCACCTCTGATCTAGGGTTTGCCCTTGTGAATGTCAAAAATATGATTACTGGCCAATTATAAGAGTATTCCATGAATTTTGTTGTGCCTAGGTTAATTCAGTGATGTATAGGGGTAGTATGGTTATTTTAAATATGAGAGAACTCCTTTAAAATTGACCAAGCAAGGTACATTTTATTACAGACCAAACATAGCCTTGTTACGGTATATTGTGTTTTTTAGGGTTTCTGTCACTATCAGGGACATTATAGTCATTTCATTTATGTATGTGATATTTATATATCTGCCTTGGATACTACATTACATATTACAGCATAGGAATTCAAGTTTGATTGAGTATACACAGGTTACAACATTGGTTTCTACTGTATATTGACAAGTGTCCTGCAGAGGGGTATTTTGGTTAATTGTGTATGAAGAACAATTGCTTGACACGTTTTCAGTGGTGCTAGAGTGAGAGAATGAGGTCTATTATACATTTCTTTGGCACTAAGCTGATTTATCCCTTTAGTGCGTGTTCAGTGGAGTCACCACAATGAGGCTGAGTCTATTTGGGAACGGGAGGATGTCATTCGCTCGCAGTTTCCTGAAATACTGGACGAAGGTAAGAGCGAATTCCGATGACGGAATTCCTTTTATTAGGGGGGAAGAATGTAATACCCCTAATTTTAAAAGGATAGTCTTGGTATTTTAATTAATTGTGTTATTTCATTTTTATTTGATTATTGGATTATTTGCCTAATCGTTTATTGTTTTTAGTTAATTGAATTCTTTATTTTAATTGTTTGTATTTAATTGCATTATTTGTTTTATTAATGTATGACGATGGCTGTTCCTATACGCCAAAATAATGTAGTGAATGTGTGGTTAAAGAAAAGCCTTTTAGGTCAAGTTTAAATTTATAAAAATCACTATCACCACTATTACTAACGTAGCAAGAGTGAGTAGGGATCGTCCCAAGGGATTATACATGTTGGAATTTAACTTCAACTCTAGTGGATCACAAGATTGCAAAGGAGAGATTGATTGATTAAACTAAGATGCAAGAAAATTAAAATGCAATTAAGATAAACTAAGTTGAGATAAGGATTTAAGAGATATGAAGAGAGGTCTTAGGGTGTTGGAATCACCACTAAGATCATGTAATTAACCACTTGCTTTCCATTAATGGGGAATACATTGTTGTGAACAAAATGCGACTACTAATTGCAATATTAAGTATGGACCATCAAATTCATGTATGAATTGTCTACCTAACCAACAAATAAATTAAGTGTAGAACAACCCATCAAATCTAAGCATGACCCATCAAACTAGTCACAATTGTAGCATACATCAATCTAGAGAATCATGGAATTTGCAATAATAAGTCATGGAATATCAAATCAAGTATAGATTATCTACCTACCTACAAACATGAATTAAATTGTAGAACAACCCATCAAGTACAGGAATAATCCATCAAATTAATTGACAAACCCATTCAATGAAAACCCATGCTTAGCCATCACTAAATCCTTAATTAATCACATATAGACATGTAACCAATATAGAGAATCTAGTATAGAAATCAATTCCCAAATAATCACACATAAGATAACATGTAATCAAATAGAGAATCAATAGAAAGAATTAATTCATATAAATCATGTAAGAAATAATTCCTAATTTAATCACACATAGACATGTAAATAAACTAGAGAATTAATAGGAAGAATTAAACTATAGAAATCATAGAAATATACCAAGATTTATTAAATTCACAAGGCTAGAATCCTAATCACAACAATATATATAAATCCCCAAAAATAGAAATACAAGGGTTTAGATTACACAAGACTTAGGGCTCATCCATGCCCTAAGTGTAGATCTAGCCAATCATGGAGGAGGTAGATGTGGTCATGAAACCCTCAAGGGTAAGCTCCAAACATGGCTCCATCTTCTTCTTCTTCTTTTTTGAAGCTCTAGAGAGAGAGAGAGAGCGAATCTAGAGATGGATCTAGAAATCTGCCTCCACTTCCCTCTTCTCTTCTAACCATAATCTCTAACTTTCAAGTGAGAGAGAGTAATGAAAATATAGAAATTACAATAAAATATATCAATCTCTCAACAAAAATGGTTGAATCCCTCTTATATACAAGGCTTTGGGAGCCCAAATATGTGAGAACTCGGCCCTAGAATCCCCTCTTTAAAGCACAACCCGAGTTGGTTCGAAATGAGATTCAGATCTATTTTTTAATAACTTTCGCGATACAAGGTAAACAACCTCAAAATGTAAAACTATAAAAAGTTATTCTAGATCAAGAAGAGAAGAAGATATGATCCTCAAAATGGGAGACCAAACTCCAAAAGCAAGGTGGTCAAAATCAGAAAATGGCAAACAGTGTCTCGGGATTCCTCAAACTGCCAACTCGAGATTCACCCCTCTGGAATCCCATGTAAACTAGGTCAAAATGAAAAGCTGGAAAACATTGTTCTAGATTAAGAAGAGAGGAAGATATGTTCTTCAAGGTGGTTGATCAAATTCCTAAGGCAATTCAAAATCCAAAAATGGCGAAAAGGTTCAGTTTGGCTGCAAGGTGGCTTTGAGAGGATGCAACAAAAAACCACATTTTTTCACTAACCCTATGCATTTGCTGGCCAATCATACACACACCAACACTACCTCTATCACACACACACACATCCACCCTCCACTTGTCAACCATCTGGACCTCCTCACAAAGCTTAATCTCAAGCCTACACTTGTCACCAATTTAGGCCAACAAGTGTACCAACCAAAGTCCACATGTGGGTGAATATTCACCCTCCACTTGTCACCATCCTAAGCACCCAAACAAGGCAACATCCCAAGCCTTCATTTGTCAACATCCCAAGCCAACAAGTGGTTCAACTAAAGGGTGACAAGTGGGTGAACCTACGCCCAACATTTGTCACAAAAACAAGTTCCAAGTTACACCACTAAGGGGATGACAAGTGGCCCCAAGGAAAAGTGACACATGTCACTAATTTCTAGAAATTGAAAAGAGGTCCCTCCTCTAAATATCCCAACGAATATTTGCAATAAAGTTCCTAAGACGAAAATTAATTACATAAAACACCCCGTAAAACAAAAATGTTTTTGAAGAAACCATGCATCTATACCCCTGGAAAATATAAATATACGAACATGTTTTTCATATAAAATAAGGACATACGCAGCCAGTAAAACATAATATAACGTAGTACACGTGGTGTCAGAAATCATTTCCGAGCACCGAAATCTACCGCGGGTCAAACAAAGCCTTCAGGTCACAAGAAAAAAAAAAAAATCAAATGATTAAATAATTAATTAAATAATTAATAATCATAAAATAAATAAATAAATAAATTTAATGACCACAACCATAGACATAAATCATTAGGTGAAGAAACCTTGTTTTGGGATGCATAACATCCCTAGGTTGGCTTGATAGCATTGGAGTATTTTTATGTGTTTTATAAGCATGCAAGTGTTAGCATGTCTTGGCCTTTTTTGATGTTGTAATATTTACATAAATATTTCCTTTTGATGTATTTAACATGATATGTAATATGGCTAAGGGCTAAACATTTTGTTGATGTAATATGTGTTTTTTTTTTTTTTTTTTTTTTTTTAACTTTGAATTTGCTTTGAAATGTAAATTTTTTTAAAAACTTTGGAGGGTTGACATGTCATTTTTTGTAAATGGAATGAAATGAGGTCGTAGGTCATTGTAACACGTCATACGATGCATATTACGTTTGTGTGCATGTTCACCTTTGCACACAACTCTTAATTTAGGCCTCGGAGCCATCATTGGTTGATTTAAGCGTTTTGTGCAAAACTTATGCATTGGAGCATGTTTTAATCATCCCTATTGTTTAGCATGTTTTGGACGTTTATATGAGGTTTTGGGATGATTTAAAACTTGATTCGAGACATTTGGGATGCATATTTAGGTTTCATTTTGGACTGAGACACTTTTCACACTCTACAGCAGTAGATTTTTTCTGCTGTCTTGTATCGGTCAGCTAATGAAGGCCATCAACTGGCTGACACACTTCTTTTTGGCATTTTC